CTCTCTCTCTCTCTCTCTCTCTCTCTCTCTCTCTCTCTCTCTCTCTCTCTCTCTCTCTGTGTGTGTGTGTGTGTGTGTGTGTGTGTGTGTGAGCATTTAAGGTATCCCTCCTTGTTTCGGTTCTGCTTGCAGTTCTTGTTCCCTGTTGTGTTCCTCCTAAGGCCTCAGCGCACATCTGTTATTATTTCTGCTTTTGACAACTTCTTGTTCCCTTTTCCATTGCTCATAAGGCCTAATAAGCTGTGCGCTAAGGCCTTATGAGCAATGGAAAAGGGAACGAGAACTGCAAGCAGAACAGAAACAAGGAGGGATACCTACCTTCCGTGTGCATGTGACCTGTTAGTTTTCTGGCTTTTTTTCCGACTCCTTTTTGATATTGCATGCATTGTGAGACGTTTGCCTGCAATCGGCCATGAGTCACATTCACAGGCTCCACGTCAACAGACCGTAGAATGCTGCTGAACACGTCCAGCTAAAAGCTCTTTTTCCTTATCGCAGACATTGATTGAGAGCTGTTCGAAGCTTCCAGCTACAAGCTCTTTTTCCTTATCGCAGACATCAGATTGTCAGCTAGGGGGTGATGGAAAGCATAATTCAGAACCGACAAGGGTTCTATTTGATGATCACCGTGGGAGTACGCAGCAGCAGGATGTACAGGTCGCCAGGGAAACTGCATATAGCATTGCTGAGAAGGAGTTGGAGGGAGACCGTCTTTCTGGGGAAGAAGACCGTGCAGGAGCAACGAGTCTGGAGAAGCAGGAAGAGGCACAGGTCACGCTTGATGATAACCAGCTTGTTGTGAAGGCTTGCTCTTCGTCAACGGCGGTGGAACTGAGCGGTTCCAGCCATGCTGATCACTGCTGTCACGACTTTGGTACGGACTTGGGGGAAGAAGTGGAAACCGCGTTTCGAGGGAGTAGAGCTGGATGCAGTGGTCAAAGTGACAATGCTCAGAGTTCTTTGAGTGAGGAGCGAGTGAATCGGGAAAAGGATCGTATTCAGAAGATCGTATCAGAACATAGCGCACCGGACTCGAGCACCCAAGTCGGTGACCAGTCGTCCGCGTTGTGCGGTGACAATCGCGAGATTGGGGGTGGTCCACTAAGCAGCGGAAGTGGTGAAACGAGCAGTCCAGCTGCCGCATCCCTGGGAAAGACAAAAAAGAGCGCTGTCAACATCAAAACAATCGCTGCAGGCGGGTTTATGTCCTGCGCTGTGGACGAGTGCGGTGCACTCTGGGTCTGGGGGAACAGCCCAAGCAGCAATGGTCAGGCAGCAGCAAACGCAAACCTGTCCGAAAGTGGGGATTTGGGAGAGGGGCGAAAAGGGTTAACGTGCATGATGGTCAGAGAGAGACCAACTAGACTCAGTTTCTTCTCCGAACGGGTGGTGGTTATGGTTGCTTGTGGGCAGGAGCATGTCTTGATGCTAGTGAATCATTCTGTTTCCGTCTCAGAGAGGCAAAGCCCATCTAGAGAGGCAGATGCGCTTGGCGTCAGCTCCTCGAGAGCTGTAAAGCATGACACAGGGCAATGTTTTGAAGGTTGTTCGCTTTACGCGTGGGGTGGAAACCAGCATGGACAGCTTGGAGTCGGGGATACGGAAAGTAGATCCTTTCCTGTTATGGTAAGCAAGCTGGCAGACAAAAGTGCAGGCACAGTCCGAACGTTTGCATGTGGCGGAAACCACAGTGTTGTTGTCACGGGTGGGGCTGTACGCGGGGCGACTGTGCCATCGAACTCTTGCTCTCGTGAATTTGCGGAAGGAAGTCGTGTCAGGCATTCCTCTGCAGCTATGAATGTATCTGACGATTGCAGCCAAGGAGATTCCTTGGAGATGGGCGAGGACAGAGTCGGTCCAGTGGAACCAGTGGGTGACATATGCTGGTCATTCGGCCTTGGGGAGAATGGGCAATTAGGCCATGGAACCACGGTGAGCAGTCCATGGCCCACTCCTGTCCGCGGGCTGTCCCAAGTGGAAGGCAGGATCACGGCCGTCGGGTGCGGCTTGTTCCACACGTGCGTCGTCGTGCAGGAAAGAGACGTGTGGGTATGGGGTATGGAGGCAGGCATGGGTCTTTGTCCCGGCACAGGAGCTGGGGACTTTCTTGAACCTGTGCAGATTCCGAATGGGTTGTTTCACTTTGACGAGGTCGTGAAGGGGCGGATAACAAGCGCTGCCTGCGGTGCTGCGCATACAGTCGTCGTAAAGCAACAGCGAGCATGGAAGTCGGCCGGGGATGAGCTTTGGGCGTGGGGAAGGGGTCTGAATGGGGTGCTTGGCAATGGAGCGGATGATGATTATTACCGCCCTTGCCCTGTGGCCTGGCCACCACCGTCCCTTGCACCAGAGCCAGGTGAAACCCCAGGATCATTTGTCGGCGGCGTTGAGAAGGAAGCACAGAAGCCAGGGATGACGGGAGCGGGACCGCATGGGGACCCTGCTGCAAAAGAGCTGGTAAGCGAGAACGCACTGCTCAAAGCCAAGGTGACTGAACTGCGTAAAGAGCTTGCGGCTCTCTCTGTCGGAGTGTATGGGGAAACATCTGGAGACTCTTCTGTCTGGCTGTCGGATTGGTTGCAAAGAGTCCGATCCGTATCGGATAAAGAGCTCGACAGATTGGTGGATTTCTATGGGGAAATGCTGCGGCATGCAGAAGAGGAAAGACTCCACCGGCGTGTAAAGAGATGGATGCAGGAGTTTATGGCCACCGCAGAACGTCCCAGCTCATCATTGACGCAGTCACTTGCAATGGGGTCGCCAGACAACAGAGGTAGGTACAGCGTCCCACCGACAAATCGTCTCAATTCGTGGCAAGGCAACATTATGGGCCTAATTCAGGACGGAGGGGAAAATGAAAGCAGGGAATCCATGGACTCACGAGGCGACTTCGCAGGAGCATCAACTGTGCCACGACAAGGTGGTGTTGCAGTGGGTGAGGCATTTCACCAAGCAAGAGAGTCAGCATTCCCTGGTGTCCCACCCACTGCCACTGATACTATCAGATGCATGACTGAACCCATGGGAGGCATGACGATTGAAAGAGGTATAAACTCAGGGGCAAGAACCGAAGTGAGCGGATACGTTTCCCTCCTTTCGGCTGATGAGAAGGAATCTCTTTCTTGGAAGATGCAAAAACTCCAGAGGTTTTGACATCCACCCTCCATGCATGCTTACCACCGAGACCCTCGAGAGTGTAGCTCTTAGAAGACGGGCTTGGGCGATGAAACTCCCTCCAGAGGTTTTGATATGCCCACCATGCGTACGCACTCATTGTTGACACTCCTCAAATCGTTAACTTCCAGAAGAGGGGCTTAGAGGATGAGCGGTAACTGTGAAGCAGCATCCGCAGGGGGAGAGAGATGGCCCGTGGCCGATGTATGAGCCACGTGTTGGTGGCTTAAACCACCGGTACCTTTCAGGCTTTACCCGCTTGAAATCTATGACGCACGTGGCAACCAAGCAGGGGAGGGCCGCCGTTGATAAATCGAATCGGCGGCCTGCTTTTCGTTTTGGGGCCTCCGGCACTGCCCGCGGGCGACAAATCGGAAAGGTACTGGTCGTTTAAGCCCCCACCTTACACCAAACTCTCCAATGGAAAATTCTTCATGGGGCCTTTGAACGCCAGATTGGATTGTGTATTAAACCCCCTACACCTTTCCCAGGCAAAAAAACAAAGCCCGCCGGTAAACACGGAGGCCGGCCCCGGGCAGGCGCGACGGCCAGGTGCATCCGAAATGCTCGGCGCGCAGGGCCGGTGGCCAACGTATGGGAAAGATACTGGCGGTTTAAAGACAGATCTTGAACAAACAGGGGATCCCGTAGAATATTTTTCCATGGGTTTTGCTCTTTTCATTTATGGGAGTATGCTGATATGATATTACTGAGTAGTTTAAGCAGTCTTTTATTTTTGGGGTCCACTGATCTGTTCCTAATGTGGGAAGAGTTTGCTATAGTTGAAAGAAAGGAGGGAAACACTAAAGCACTATGGAATGCCCCATGGCACTGCAGATCTGGAGGTCACCTGGTGCAGCATGGTAAAAACTGGGTTGAAGCCCCTTCCCTTGGAATGTCATGATCATAGGGTTAAGTCGCTTTCCTCGTCATGGAGTCACTTTAAACATAATCCATTTAAATGTACGAGGCTACTGTCTTCCCGCGAACACAACGCACACTCATTATGGATGTACACAAGCAATCTTTCCAGTCCGATGCAGTCATAATGAGGTGCGATGTGTCCGAGAGAAGACGGTAGCTGTTCCAATGGGAATGCAAAGGGCTAGATGCTGCAACAAGCGTAAAGAAGATAATTTTGGCCATCTGCGTGGCATCCAGGGTGATGGACGAAGAGGCAGGTTCCCGGTTTTTTGGTTTCAGATTAGCCAGAGGTACGGGATGCTGGGCCCAGTTTCCAGCACAGTGATCTTTTCGGTTGGCTTCATGCTTATCTGTTTCTGCCCTCAAAACTCTTAACCTGTGGAGTTCAGAAGGGACGCTGAGCCCGGTTCTCAGCACGTGCTTCCGAGGCACTTTCCTCCGGGGCTGGGAATGCGCGGAATGCCAAAAAAAAAAGCATGTCGAAAAGAAAATGAACAGGTGAGGATGTACTGCTGGTTTAAACCACCCTGCACCAGTACTTGGCCCATACATCGGCCGTGGGAAAAAATAGAGTGGAAGCGTTTCAACTCGGATGAATTTGGGCGCTCCCAAATTCAGCCATTAAACCCACCGCGACGGACTCGGATGAATTTGGGCGCCATTCATCCGAATTTGGGCGCCAGTGATTAGCTTACGGCAGTAGTTCCGAAAGTTGCAGCCGTTTAAACCCAGGCCCGTTCATCCGAGCCCGTCGCGGCGGGTTTAACGGTTGCGACTTTCGGAACTACTGCAGTAAGCTAATCACTGGCGTTTGCACTTGTGATCTATGGATATCCTTCTGCAACAAGCAAGATGGGGCCTGTTTCCAACTTTCCACCCAGGAAAGCTTCCGTGATGGCCAGATAATGCCCTCAAACGTAGGTTGATAAATGCCGCTAAGGTTCTTCAATTTCTCAGTATTAAACCACCAGTACTTCCTAAAGCCGTGCCCATTAACAAGCCCCGATTTTAGGAATGTACGGGTCACGACGGGAGCGCCCAAATTCATCCGACTGGAAATGTGTCTACTCTTTTTTTCCCTCAGCCGACAGATGGGCCAAGCACTGGCGGTTTAAACGTAAGGGATACTGGATGCAGTTTCCAGCTGTGCAGCTCCCCACCAATAGTTTGGAGCCTTCATCATGATAGGGCGAAAAGAAAAAAGGATATTATATGATTGGTGGGTAAGGGGGGAAAAAAAAAGGGTTCACTGAGGCCAAAATACCCACTTATGAGGGTGGGCGTCTCTGTGTAGGGTGCGCATGGGGGGCAGGGCAGAGGGGGAGAAAAGGTTAACAGAGCCCTAAATTTTCAGGTTTTTTTCTTCAGGGCTATTATAACAAACTTCGCACACGTTTAAAGCCAGACTTGTCACTGTTCCGTAGAGTGGACACCAAATACAACGACAGCAAAACAAAAAGAAAGTTAAAAGATGGATAAAAGGGGCCTAAAACCACAAGGCAAAACAGAGGGGGGAGATGAAATGAGCAGCTTAATGAGCAGCTTCTGTCCTCCGATACCGTTGGCTGCTGTGATGGAAAGGTGGAATTTTTTTTCGGCTATGAAGGTAGAAGGTGGGTGGTAGATGCAGGGCAACTGCTGCCTGTTTTCCCAATTTACTGAGGGGATGATGACTTGTTGCATCTGATTGTGGAGGTTATGATAATGTGGACTTAGGTATACAGACAATTTAAACGGATGTAAGTTGATACAGATTTGGGTGGGAGGATAATCCTTCTCCCATGGGGAAGTAATCGATTCCTCCCGGCAGTGATTCTGCAGATATGATTAGGGAATCTGTCCCGTCCGAGCAGTGCCGAGGGTTCTTCCAGCCTTAAGCCGCCAGTACGTCTGAACCTCTTTTACTGAGGCAGATATGTGTTGCAGTAGGTCGACAGCGGAAGGACATGGCCCTGGCCATGCCACGTCGGACATTTTGCCTGCGCAGCGTACTGGCTCGTGGCTGAGAGATGGTCAACAGAGCCCCCAGTTTACAGGGCCCAAGTTTACAGGGGTTTTCCAGGCTCATTATAACACCTGTTAAACCACCAGTACTTGGGCACTGCACGCCGCGCCAGCCGCACCTTTTTTAAAGCGGCGCGGGCTGTCGATACGATAAATCAATGGCCCGCGGGTAGCGAAATTCTCGTAGCGTTAACGCTAAGGCGTCGCCCAAGTACTGGTGGTTTAAGCACTTGTGTGGTGGCTTAAACCACCAGTGCTTAGAGGCTTCCTTTTACCAAAGTGGATTGCCCCCTGCATGCCCAAACAAGCAAACTGAGGGGTTTCCCGTTTTGGATTGTGCTGCTAGCCATTTAGCTCCAGTAGGCCATCATGATGCCGAAAAAGCCGTGGGGCGCGCACGGCCACATTGCAGAAATATGTCTGGGAAGTGGAGTGAGTATTTCGTCGCATACAAAATTGGTAGAAAATTAAAAATACAGGGCCTTGGGCACACCCAGGAAAGAAAAAAGGGCTATGGTGGGTGTAATGATTTATCTGCAGGAACTGGGTAGGCCAGGTGTGGATCGGGATAAGCACGAGCACAAGATTTGAAACGGGCGCGGCAGAAGGGGGCAAGATTGGGCAAATCAAGTGGAGTGGGCTCGAAGGGGATCACCAGGTGGAAGTTTTGCGAAGAGACTACCACTTGGTGTTCCATGACTGGTCAAGAATAGACCCATCCATATCATTGCGTCCCTTGACAGACTTCCCTGACCCTTTCCCACCTTCTGTCTTGAGTTGTGTGCCTCAAAGTTGGTTTGGTTTGGTTTGGAATAGGGCCTTAATATCCTTGTGTGTTTCTGTGTTTGATTTGCCTGTCTTCTGCTTAGCAGGAAAGATCCTATCTCAGTACTAGGGCTTAAAAGAATTGCGCCCATTGAATGGGTGAACAGGTACAAGGCGTCTGTTCATTCCCCACAGTCTTACTACTCTCTTGTGATGGACCCGTGTTCCAGCAGTGCTACTCCCCACCAGATTGGAGTCATCAACTGATCTGTTAGGGGTGGGTGCTGGTATCACCACACCTAATAGTATCAGTGGTTGTTTTTCGTAAAAAAAAGAAAAAAAGGAAACGTTTTGTAGCTCAGCATTTGTTTTTAATAGGGGCCTAGCGGTTGGACCTGGCGGCTTAAGACCGCGTTTCTTAAGACCGCACGGAAACCTTTGAGTGTACGGAATGTCGCTCATAAAGTACACCCAAAAAAAAGGGAAAACAAAAGGAAAGGGATAAGCAGGGCGAACCATTTCACCCTTACGGAGGTGAATTTTTGACATAGCGTATGCACGTGCAACCACCTACCTCGGTTCGCCATCGCCTGACTTTGTTGGAGAGAGAGAGGGACGGGGGGGGGGGGGGGTGTCCATGTGGCACCACGCCTGTCATGACGCCGCGACCAGTGTGAAAGCTGCGTTTTTTTTTTGTTTTTTTTCCGCCAGGAGGGATGTACAATACTTATTGCAAAAGTTTCACATCGAGGCTGAGTGCTCGTTGCAGAATTGAAATTTGTTGTGTTAGATGTCAGTCCAAGACTTCTTGCACTCCTTGACAGCGCGAGCCTTGCTTCGAAAATCGCCCTCGAGATGCTTGAGGTTTACAAGAGTGAAACCCGCTCAATAGACCATATGTGAACGCTGAGAGAAAATATTTCACCTTTCGATAATGGAGTTGCTCGCATCCCCTTGGTATAATATGGAAACCAGTGTTTGATCCTACCGTGACTCCTAGCAGGGGGGCGAGTCACAAACTGAAGGGTGCCCTGAGGTGGGAGTGAGGAGATAGGAAGAGGAGGGAGAGCTCCGAATCGTAATGTTGTGATCGGTGCGGGTAGCTGGGAAGCAGCACCGGCCGGGATCGGTAGATTAGACTGCCTCACCAGAAACCGGTATCGGGGTGGCAATACCTCCCGCAATGGGCCAAGCGGAAGGGGTGGCGGGAGCCAATGGTGGTGAAGCAATAGACGGGGTAGTCTGAGCAACAGCGACAGTCACTGCTCCAGCGGGAGAGTGTTGGGCCTGAATCGCAGAAGGGGGGTAACCACCGCGTCTTTGTGTTTGGAGTCGTGGGAAAACGGATTGGGAGCCGGCAGGGGATGCAGTGTGAGAGTGGTGGGGGGAGCGATGAGGAGATCCCTTGAGGCGGTTGACGTCAAGGGCGAGCGCATTGAGTTGCGCCTGTACGGGTGCAAGCGCATCGAGGCGCGCTTGCATAGGTGTGAGGAGGGTCGGCAGTACGGTCTCAAGGTCCATAGGGGCCTGATTGAGGACCGTTGGCTGAATGGGCACCTGAGAGGTGGATGGTACCGCAACGATTTCCTCGGGTGTACTCCCGTCTGTGTGCGGTGGAGGAAGGGGAGTGACATGGTGGGAGTTGGAGAGAGATGGGGAAAGGGATGAGCTGCGATGTGTGGAAAGGGGCCCACATGCAAGAGGGAGGGGACCACGAGAGTGGAATGGGTAGTCGTGAGTCGACTCGCTTCGTGACCAGCCGGTCGAGTGTGAGAGGGTGACGGGAAGGAGATTGAAAGGAGAGGATCCATTCGGGTCCAGCGTG